ATACAGTGACAGCTTACGAATTTCAGCTAAAAAATTAGATATTCACTCGCATAGTACTGCCAGCTATGTAGTTTAGGAAAATTACAATCTGTTGTAAATAATGAAGAGAAAATACTTTTAAAATTAGTACATTAACCAATGATTTCTTCCTATTTTGATTAGAAACTTGTTAACTAATTTAAAAGTTGATGTTATTCAGTTATTACTAACTATAATTATCTCAAAAACTTTTAATTCACTTTCGATATATAAATCTTTTTTACTCATTACATATATTTTACTAAACTTTACATAAAATTACAAAGTTCATTACAAGTTGTTTGGTTCTATTTATCGAAAATTTCATCTAACGCAAAAATTGCAACTTTCATTATATAGCGATAATTCATTACAGTAATCATATTTAAATTACCTAACTTACTTATAAGTTTTAGGTTAGGAAAGTGAGAAATTTGATAAAGATGATATCACGATAGTTTCGTGACTTTTAATAAAATCCCAAAAGGGTAAATAAGACTAAGACTATTGCTCAAGAAATTACGGGAGAGGATTCACAATAACGTCAAAGAATTATTCTCAATATAAATCATGTGAGATAATCACAAAATAAATACAAAAATAACTTAAAGATATTTCAGAGATTACGCTTCAGAGACTCTAAGTCAATATAACGAATCAATACAATATCATATAATAAGTTTACTAACAAAAGGGATTGCACAAATGCAAAGGGTCACAGATAATTTATAACAGTTTCAAAGGATTTGCGAAGGATAAGTTTTATACTTGGTTAATTATACTCCTTTATTAATATAATATTAAGTTCAGTACCTAAAAGATTAACATCTCGTCAGTGCTAAAGTCTCAAAAAAAATACAAAGATATTTATATATGTTAGATAAATAATAAACTAAACTAAATATATCAAAGGAAATAAAGTTACCATTTCACTAGGCAATAAAGTTACCGTGTCAATAAAATTGCCAGATCTGCAGGCAACTAAATGGATATCTATGATCTACATAATTATCAAAGGCAATAAAATTGACATCTAATGATTTACATAATTGATCAACGGCAATAAAATAGATAAATTGATCTTCATAAAAGATCTTCATAGCAATAAAATGGACTTAACATTCTACCAATTAAATCTATCTAAAATTTTACCCATCATAATGCCCACTGTTCTGTTAAGCTGATGGTATCAGTTTCATTTCCTAAATTGTGTTCTTCTTTTACAGTTTGTATAAGGGTATTTTCATTGTCACTAACTTGGATAATTACTTCATTTTCAACCTCGCTATATTCACTATCAGAAGTTTCATAAGGCTGTATAGGAGTTGCAATATAATTTTGTTTATAAAGCTTTTCAGATTTTCCAATTGCTATTTATTTGTTTCTACGTAAAATATCACTTTTTAAATGACTCATCCCTAGTACTTTTTTTATACTTTAATAAATTAAAAAAAATGTTTAATATTATAAAATAATCTATAAAAATTTTAAAAAATTATTTTAAAATTTAGTTTTACTTACATTAAGCTGATTTCGTCATTTTGAATGTAAAAATCCCATGTTTGATCAAAGCCTTTCTACAGAAGCTGAATTAACACAAATTCCATATAAATGAAGATCAAATTGTGATAACTCAGGTGCTTGTCCTTTTGTCAAATCCTAAAAATCCATTATATTTCTATCAAATTGGTTAAATGTTTGCAGATCAAAAGGATATACCTCCCATTAATATAAAAGAAATTCTCGTAAAATGTGTTTTGGTGGCATATTAAACCAAACCTAATAATAATAATTATCCCATTGACCAAAATGAGTATATAAGAGATTTTGTATATTACTATTAAAAAGTGAAGTACAATATTGTGGATGAAAAACTAGGGATAGAAGTAAAAGAGGTTGTTCTCATTGATTCTAACGGCGTTCAAGTCAAGTAATCATTTGACCAGAAAAATTATCATTTTGGTAATCTAAAAATACTTTAATTGTCTATCCAAAAGCAAGAACTACTTCATACAATTGTGCCATATCTTTTTGTAATTTATTTAATGCTGCATAAAGTGGTAAAATTAAATCTTGAAGTTCGTATAAATAACTCCAAAAATTTGGATTATTAATAATAGTAATTATATCAGGAGAAAGAAATTTTTTTGCGAAAGTTGATATATGTCTTTATCTTTAAAAACCACTTTGAGATACAGAAGAACCTTCAAGATATTCAGATATAAATTTCATAGCAAGTGTCTAAATTAATTAAAAAATAAAATAAAATTTAATTTTTAATTAAATAAATAAAATAAAA